CTTGTGTTCCTGCTCTTGCTATCTCTCTCTCTGGCAAATAAGTAAATAAAATCTTTAAAAAAATAAAATAAAAAAAAATAAAAAAAATAAAAGCCAAATGAAAGTATACAATGAAAAGTAAGCTAGTTATTGATCTATGATTTTTTATAATATTGTATTTTCAGAGTTAATGAATTACACGATCCAATGTACCAGTATCGAGTTGACACAGGAAATTTTCAGGTAAGGATTATTAATGATGCCTGAGGGTTTTCTTTAAATGCAGTTTTTTAAAAATACTCAATTTGGTAACTTAAAATGTGCTGCTGACATGAGCTTGCTAACTGGTTGTTTAGGGGAGCCTATAGAAGGTTCACGGGTGTAAAATTTGGAAAAATGTGTGAGTAGTATGAGAAATAAGCTTTTAAAAACAAAGTTGTCGGGGCGCCTGGGTGGCTTAGTCAGTTAAGAGTGTGCCTTCAGCTCAGGTCATGATCCTGGGGTCCTGGGATAGAACCCCTGTCAGGCTCCCTACTCAGCGGGGAGTTACTTCTCTCTCTCCCTCTGCAGATCCCTCTGCTTGTGCTCTCTCTCTCTCTTTCTAAAATAAAAAAGATTTATTTGAGAGAGTGAGTGAGAGAGAGAATGAGCAGGGGGAAGGGCAGAGGGAGAGGGAAAAGCAGACTTCCTGCTGAGTAGGGAGTCTGATGTGGGGCTCCAACACGGGATTCCGGGATCGTGACCTGAGCTGAAGGTAGACGCTTAACTGAGCCACCCAGACACCCCAATAAATAAAATCTTAAAAAAAGGTTGAAAGAATATTCGGTAGAAATCGCCCTTGCTTAGAAGGCGGCTGTTTGGGGTGAAATGAGCTTTCTTCACCTAATATGTCTTTTTGCTAAGTGTCCAGACTTAGTTTTCCGGGACTAGAGGTAATATTTGTTTATAAACACTAAAATTCTTTTTAAAAGAAGGAGGTCTTGGGGCACCTGAGTGGCGCAGTTGGTTAAGCATCCAACTCTTGGTTTCAGCTCGGGTCATGATCCCGGGGTCCTGGGATTGAGCCCCGCATCTGTAAGGCTCCCTGCTCAGTGGGGAGTCTGTCTCTCCCTCTAACCCTACCTGAACCCCCCCCCCATCCCGCGCCCCGGTCTCAGTGGCTCTCTCTCAAATGAATAAATAAAAAATCCTTTAAAAAAAAAGTCGTCACTCCCATTCCTTGGTTTATGGTTGAGGCACAGAAGGTGTGTCAGATTTTAGGAACATTGTAGAGCAATTAAGAAAACATTTTTGTTCATTTAACTCTCTAAAGTCGAGAAAGGTTTCCAAGCTAATGAATGGAGCGGCCAGGCCAGCTTGTGTGGGCCTGCAGGCCTGGCAGCCACAGGGCCCAGCACCCTGGGTAATGCTCTGCTCTCACCAATTTAGAATACTTTGTACTTTCAAACAAGGGGTCCAGTGTCTTTATTTTACACAGAGGTCCGCAAATGGCAGTCAACCCCAAGTGTGGCTTTCCCTCGAGTCTCCAGGTTTATCGTTATCCCTTGGCATCTCAGGGCAGCCCCTCCTGGGCGCAGCTGGCTGCTGAGCCCAGGTGTGGATGTGCGAGGTGCCGGGGGCCAGAGGGAGCCCTGCAAGGTGTCTAGGAGACATGCTCCCAGCAGGGCAGTCCCAGAGGTACAGAGTTGAATCCTGAGCTTGGGTGATATCCAGCATTTCTCTGGAGGCTTTGCAGAGCTTCCCGTGAAGTGGTAAAATCTGTGGTTCTTTATGGGAATGGCCTCTGAGAAAGAGGGAAGTTTAGTGAATGATGATATCTTGAAAGATGTGTAACCTGTGTTGAGACGACACATGTCCTAGCAAGTAGTATGAGCACCTGATTCTTAACCAAAGTTCAGCAGGGGAGTGCCGGTAGCCTTTCCATCCCATTATTTAGAAGTTTGAGGAGTTTTGAAGGTTGCTTGGTATATGCCTTATGAACATTGTGCCATGATCTTTGTCCTCAAAGCATATAGGACCTTGTGAGGGAGAGAAAGCTTAGTAAGTACAGACCAGTGTGGTGTCCTGCCAGCCATGTCCTTACGGACAGTGGGCCCAAGTTACTAGGGGGAGGAGGTGTCTTTATTTGTGTTTTGTTCTTTTCTTAGACTCATAATGCTTTAGTAAGGTTGTTGGGGGGAGGGGTTGCGCCTGGAGCTGGAAAGCAGGGGCGGCATTCCAGGCCAGGGAAGGGAGGCGCTGTTGCAGAGTTGTGTGGGGCGGCGGGCCTCGGAGGAAGCCATGCAGGAGACCTGAGTCAGGGCAGGCCCAGTGAGGGCTGCGCCTGTGAGGGGCACTGGACACCCCTGGAAGGCTTGAGGCCATGTGTGTGTGGGGCTGGGCCTCAGAGCAGCCTTTTCTCCTTGAGGGCATGACACCAAAGGAAGGGACAGGGAAGAGCTGCTTTGACACATTCTCAGGGAAGACTGTGCAGACCCCAGTGATAGATCATATACAAAGGGCTGTTGGTTGAGTGTAACTCCCCAGATTTACATAAAATAATATAGGTTCATGCTAATTTGTTACTAGAGCTTTTGTCTGGTCCAGTCCCCTCATTTTTCATGTGAGGAAACGGAGGGGCAGTCAAGGGTCTTGTCTGAGGTCACAGGGGGCTAGTACCTGGGCCAGCGTACCAGCTTCCTGGACAGCCTGCTGGTCAAACCTGTGCTCCTGGGGGCCTGCCTCCAACCCTCCCGAGTCTTCTGTTTTCCCTCTGCAAAAGGGGTAATACTGCAGTCTCTCCTAAAGAGTTGTTGCGCAGGTTGAATTGACCAGGAACGCGAAGCACTTGGCCAGCACTTGGAAGGACTTGAGCAAGGCTAGCCATCGCCGTGGTTGTGGTCACCTCTCCCCTTCTCAGTCAGTGACCTATGTCTGTTACTAGGGGAAACACTGGAAACCAGAGACCTGCAGAAAACTGAAAAAAGGTGAAGACCCGCCACTGGTGTATTGAGCACCTGCCACGTCCAGGCCCTGTGCTAGGAGCTTTCCGTGCGTCATGGAAGGAGCTTGGATTCTGGCTCATCTGACTAGCAAGGGCTGGGGCTGTCCCCTGGTGAGCCACCTGTGCTCACAGACAGGATGAGAGGCCGAGTCTAGCCAAGGAAGTCGCAGCGGTGGGAACACGTTCTTGTTCTGTGTTATGGAGTGTGACCTTCAGGATTCTAGGCTCCTATTAAAAATGTTTGGCTCTACAGAAATAAAATCTTAAAAAAAAAAACAAAACGGGGCGCCTGGGTGGCTCAGTCGTTAAGCGTCTGCCTTCGGCTCAGGTCATGATCCCAGAGTCCTGGGATCGAGTCCCACATCGGGCTCCCTGCTCAGCGGGAAGCCTGCTTCTCCCTCTCCCACTCGCCCTGCTTGTGTTCCTGCTCTCGCTGTGTCTCTCTCTGTCAAATAAATAAATAAAATCTTAAAAAAAAAAAAATGTTTGGCTTCCCTGCTTGTGGTGGTGGTGGAGGGAGGAGCAGTGCTGAGCCCCTGTTCTTATTCAGTTGCCCATCTCGTGTCGTTGTAGGGAATGAAGATTTTCTTCATGGTGGTGGCAGCTGTGTATATTTTATACCTTCTGTTCTTGATAGTGCGGGCCTGTTCCGAGCTACGTCACATGCCTTATGTAGGTAAGTGCCACATCACAAACTGCCCAAGGCAAGGTGGGCCAGGAGTTGACCTCAGACAGTGGGAGGAGTGGCTGGGGTCCACCCAGCAAGAGGCCTGACCTGGATGGGGACCTGTCCCACTCCCTCATGCTGGGGGGGAAACCAGTGCCTTCAGTCCCTGGGGAGCCACAACAGGGCTGAATGGGTAACTCTGGGCCTTTTAGACAGTGCCTCAGACCAGCGCTGGAGGGAGGCCTGTGGGGTGGAAGCCCCCTGGGGCCCTGGGTGCCACTGTGGCTATTGGAGCTGCTTGAATCCTTCCAGAATCGTACCTTGCAGAGGAGGTGGCTGGGGCCGTTTTCCTAGTCCTGAGTCAGGGCAACTCACCTGATCTCCTAGGATCCTTTCCCTCAATCTGTCACAATCAAATAATAATGGCCATGGTGTCTCTGGGGATCCTCCCTGACTCTGGGGAGGTGGGACAGCATTTCTTCTGCGCTTCAGGTGCACACAGGCTTAAAGTCCAGAGGGAGGAGGGGTTTTGTTCAGAAGGCTTTGTTTATTTTTTGTCTTTATTTTTAAGCTCCCTGAGATGAGAATGGAATTTACTTCCCAAGTGGTTTAATGGGGTATTTATTTCTTTTTCAGATCTCAGGTTAAAATTTTTGACTGCATTGACTTTTGTAGTGCTTGTCATTAGGTAAGAAGACTTTATTTCTTCAAAGAAGCAAAACAGCGAATTTGTATTTTCCTGTCATGAGTATCTTTTCTCCCCTTTCAACAGAGTTAATTTTAGGGCATTTCTAGCCAAATCTGTTCAGTAGGTCAGAGGGCCTCTTGCGCAGGGCAGGCACTGAGTGTGCACAGCGGCCGGGAGAGCTCCTGTTGTGTTGTAAACGCCCCGGGGAGTGGCCAGGGACTGAGCCGCGTGGCCCGAGCCCGCCGGCCCGCACTGGCGGAGCCCCTGCTTGCTCTGCCGGCGCCATGTTGGAGCAGCCACAGCCCAACGCGGGGGAAAGGACTAGAATGCCGTGCGTGTGGACTTGGCACCTGGCATCCTTTTGGTGCTCCAAGGAGAGGACCGTGCATTTGAATTCAGTACCGTGGGTGTCCTTGACCTGCAGCGTGGTGGCCCCGGGGGGAGGGGACGCTTCGGTGGGCGTCTGCGGAGGCTGAGGCCCGGGGACGACGCTGTTTCTGTGAATGCATGCCAGGTCATTGTCGGGTTGTTTGTGGTTTGTCTCTTTCTGCTAAAATCCAAGTCCAGAGGGAAAAAAATCTGGTCACTTGCCTTTCTTCCTTGGCGGTTTAGATGGCAAATAAATGGCTGCCAGCCCTTTTCCTAGGCGGGAACCGCACAGAGACTCTGAGAGGCTGGCTTTGCAGGGCAGCTCTGGGTGCCCCGGCTGCCTGAGCTGCGGCCTCCCGTGGGCACCCGCGTCCCTTCCCCGCTGGGTCGTGCTCATCGCTCACCACACCACACGAACTCAGCGTGGACTTCGTGAGCTCGCGCTTCGTTCAGCATCCGCGTTCACCTGGAAACCAGGGCCCGCACCGTGGAGGCAGCCCTTCCTCAGCGCCTGGTGCACAGGCGCGCTCTGCTTGTCACACGTGCTCCCTCATGCGCCCTCGCGCCCTTTTACGCGCACACACACACACATACACACACACTCACACACACTTTCACTCACTCCCTCACAGACTCTCACATCCCCGTCTCACACACTCACCCCCTCACACACACTCTCACACCCCTCACTCTCTCACATACCCTCTCACACACACTCCCTCTCACACCCCCGCACACACACACTCTTTCTCTCTCTCACACCCTTCACGTCCCCTCACACGTCCTCACTCTCATGCAGTCTGAGTCCACAGGTTGGCAGTGGGACACCTATGGTGACCTCCGTAGAGTCTGACTTAGAAGTCATTCTGCCTTTCTGGTCTTTCTTCATATAAGCTTCAAGGGGACTCAATTGTTTGTCCAACAAGTGTGTATGGAGTGTCTGCTCCGGTCAGCAGGCCAACAAGTTCCTCCCTCTCACGGGGCTTACATTCCAATGGAGGAAGACGGTGATAAACAAGTAGATCAATAGCATAAGTCCTATAATGAAAACCGAGATGTGTGATGATGGCAGAAGAGGTTCTGCTTTAGACAGGGACTGGAGGGGACGTCTCTCTGAGGAGGGGACACTGGCCTGGGGTCTGAGGGAGGAGCCCTGGAGACACATGGGGACAGCAGTGTCCCAGGAGGTGAGGACGTGAAGGGAGGGTGGCCCCCGGAGAGGTGAGGTCGGGCCCTGCACGCCACCAGGAGGAGTCCCAGTTTATTTTCGGTGATGGGAAGGAACCCTTGGGAGGGGTCAGAGCCGGGAGGTGAAGGGCTCCGATTTGCGCTTTTGTTAGCGATCGGTCTTGGTCCTTGTGGACAGTGGACCACAGGGAGGGAAGAGGAGCGCGGGGTGCCGATCTGGAGGCTGTGGAGTTGTTCAGGGGAGAGCCGCGTCGGCTGCGGAGCTCCCTGTCCTCAGAACCTTCTGTCCTCATGTGTATCCGCAGGCGGGTGTCTGAACAGAGGTGCCATGCTTCCTCACTGTGAGAATCGCTGAGCCCGAGGAGGGAAATGTGACTTCCTCAGGGCCTTGTCGTTTGTGGTAGGAGCTGGTCGTGGAAATGAGATCTAAGGCAGTGCGAGAAGGGAAGGACGTGCTGATGGGGTGCTTCCGGGCCCCTGATGTGGGGCTGCGACATGGTCTGTGGCATGGTTAGCTGCTTCTGCCCCAGCAGCAGCCCTCCTGACTCTGAGACCAAGCACCTGAGGCCGGGGTGCTGTGTGCGTGTGCGCATGTGCTCTCGCAGGCCCGGGGGTGCGCACGGGTCCGTGCAGAAATTGTAGTGAATGGACCACGTGCACGGGGTGAATGGAATGAGTTCTGTGAAGCTGGTGCCATTTCCTCATCTCTGTTTACTTACTGTCCCTCCCCCTTTTTTTCAGCATCGTCATCCTTTATTTAAGGTTTGGAGCACAAGTATTACAAGACAATTTTGTTGCTGAACTGTCAACTCACTACCAGAATTATATCCTTTCAGTGGGAAGCCTTCGGGCTTCAGGACCACGCTCTGCACGGGGTGGTTAGTGTGTCAGGGCTGCAGACGTGAAGAAGAGGCAGGTCACCGCACTGTGGTGCCTTGCGTGCCGCGGGCCCCTCCACGGCCCACTCCCGTGGGCGGCGGCTCAGGCTCGGCAGGGCGAAGCGGTCCCGAGGGAGTCACACGCCCCAGCTGCTCTCCCCACCACCCTGCTCTCCGGTCCCTGGGGATTCTTCGGGAACCCAAGCCCCATTCAGAACCTCGCATCAGTCCGAGGTGCCTGTTCTCCCCACGGAGCACTGAGGGGGAGGCTGAGCCCGATTTGAGAGTCCTCTCTCCCCATCACCCAGATGTATCCAGCTGCGGTGTCCACAGGTTGTGGTGATTAGGGCAGTTTAAGCCTGTGTCCCCAGAAAAGGCTCATAAGGTAGCAGGATGTCCTTCGGTTCCTGCGTGTCCCTGAGACCCGTGGGACAGGCTGCTTGTCCACTAAACTCCTCTTCAGATGCTTGGCCGCTGACGGAGCTTGCCACTCCTCCTTTCAGTGATGGCGTCCATCAGGGGGCGCTTTAGAGTTGATCCCTTATATCTTAGCTTCTTTCCTTGGGGCTTCTTACATCCTTAGAAGTAATGCAGGATTTTTCAAATTTTAGTGGCTGGATTTCACACTAACCTTTTATCAACTTCTCAAAGGGGTCTGTAATGCAGAAAAGATGAAGAACGACTGGTTTGAGAGACTGTTCCAGTTCTTGATTGCATTCTTTATTTACCCGTATGTGTGCACAGCCCTCCTGCCCTTTGTGAGTAACTTGATCACATCAGGTCCTGCCACCTCCAGAGGTTTCCATGGATAGAAAAGAGCACGGTGCACCTGTTATTTACAGGTGACCTTGAAAGGTTATTGTAACCTTTGGCTGTGGGCTTGCCCTCTGGGGTCCTGCTGTTTGGGCCGTGGAACCCCGAGGTCCTCGCTGGTGGTGAGCAGTGGAAAGGACTGCTGTGGTTAGAAGGAGCAGCCAGACTGAAAGCAAAGACCCCAGCTGAAATGTCCAAATACGTAGTGTTCCGGGGCTGCTGATTTCCCTTGACCAGTATCACCAGCTGAATTCTTATCTTTCTATGGCTTGTTGAACTTTTACCTCTACACTTTGGCCTTTGTGTATTCTCCATCGAAGAACGCCCTGTATGGTAAGCCACCCTGGGCCTGGGTTGCTGGCCAGATGGCTTCACAGCAGTTCAGGACCCACCTCCCGGGTTCCCTGTTAATGCTGGGCCCCCAACCCTAGCACAGAGGGATGAGGTAAGCTGCAGGGTAAGCCCTGAGTCGTAGTTAGAACACAGCATGTGCTGTGTCATTTCAGCACAAGACGGGAACAGTGGTTCTGGTAGTGGGTCCCGGCATAAGCATGTCCCCGAGCCGTGTGAAGCCAGGTCTGTTGCACGCTCGTGCCATGGCCATCCAGAGAAAGCCAGAATGTAAGAAGAGCCAGACTGTCACACAGGCTGAAAAGGACGGGAACTTCCTGACTTCCTGGCACTTGGGCAGGGGTGTAGCATTTCAGGCCCACCGCCTGACTTCCGTGTTGTGTGAGTTCTCAAAGCACCTTCGTGAAGAGGTCCCACTCAAGCCTCACAGCAGCTCTGTGATGAAGATGCAGTTAGTCCCTCCTGAGATGAAGAAACGAGGCTGGGTGGCTTGCTTCCTCCCGGGGGTGGGAGGGAGCAGGGCGGGCGCCTCTGGTCTCCCGGGTGTTTTCCGCCCCCGCTACCCACGTGGACTTGGGAGAACATAGCCGGATCACAGCTGCCGTTGGAGGGTTCCCCCTGGAGCCTCTCTGCTCCGGGTGCTTCCACCGCGCGGTCTGCCCAGCAGCCTGCCAAGTAGTGATGCTGCCCCTGGCTCGAACGCGAGAAACAGGCTCGGGAGCGAGATTCATTCAGGTCACACAGATAATAAATGGTGGAAGCGGGGATCTGAATCCCGCTCTTTCGGACTCCTGTCCTTTCCCGGTAGCATCTTGCCTCCCCGGGCTAATCACATAAAAATGCTTTTGTTGGCCTCCAGAGTCCCAGCTGAAAGACAACCCTGCATTCTCCATGCTGAATGACTCTGACGATGATGTGATCTATGGGTAAGTCCCTGCCTCTCTGAAGGCTGTCTATGGTGAGCGTTCCGCCTGGTTTTGTGCATTTACTGAACAGGCTCTTAATCATTCTAAAATGATTTGCAAGGCATTATGACATTTCTTTCACCTGGGGGTGTCCCGTGATCCCATGGGGTTCTGTTTTCACGTTGTTCTGACTAGATTGAGCGGTGTTCCTTTTTTTGAACACTTTGGCATGGGTGGTGCCCACAGGAGGAGCAGTTCTCCCTGGCAACGGGCCCTGGTGCTCGGTGGGGGGTGAGGAGTGGGCAGGAGCAGCAGGCGGTAGAAACGGGGAGCGCGGAGCCGTGAAATGCCTTCTTGCTGAAATGGCATGTCAGTGTGGAAGAGAAGAACAGAAGATGAGCTGTCAAAAGCCGAATGGCATCAAGGGTCTCTTTTGTGACAGGAGTGATTATGAAGAAATGCCCCTGCAGAACGGCCAGGCCATCCGGGCACAGTACAAGGAGGGCTCCGAGAGCGACTGAGCCCCCGGCCGCCGGCGGGCCGGGCCGACGCTTTCCCGCAGCGCCGCTTCCTGGCCTTCCCCGCTCCTGCTGGTGTTCAGGCTTGTCTCATAAGCAGAGATTTCCTGGTCCTTATTTGTTTACGTATTTTTTAAAGGAAAACCAAAACCAAGGAGAAATTTAAACATTGGGCCAAATTTAGTGTTAGAGTGGCTGCATTTGGGAAGAGTGGCGCTGATAAGTGTAAACAGCCAAATCCCTTTTCCGGATTTCAGATGAGAGAGTTCATTTTTAGTGGTAAGGAGGTAATTACTCCTCTTTTTAGTAGAGTTATTATTATTATTTTTTTAATAATCTGCTCTTTCTGAGTCCATGGAAAGCCCTTATGAATGAGGTCGTCAGCATGGTGGCGTTCTCTTTCTTCCTTTCTTCCCTGCCCGGTACCAGTTTCAGCCCTTTAAACTCAAAGGGAAGCCTATTGTTGTGTCTGTCTCCCAAGGACATTCCTTCCCCCTTGAGTGCTCTGGGTAACCAAGCATCCCAGGTGACTAGTAACTCCTGTCTGTTGTGTGAAATGCCTAAGTAATAGCTTATTAGGGAAATGGTGGGCGAGCAGGTTCTAGCCCTTCACTGCCACAGGGCAGAACTCCTGTCGTGAGGGACTGAGGAGGACTGGCTGAGATTCATAAGGAAAGGGTAAGATAACCGACAAGCGCCAGCTCGGGGAGAGGTCCTGCTGCCATGGTTTTCCAAGAGCTGTGTACACACGAGTGTGCGTGTGAGCGGATGTCGCTGTGGTTGGGATGGGAAAGAGGGTATCCGCTACAGTTCCTACAAGCTGTCATTTCTACAGCTCCTTTAGAGATAACACCCTGTGGAACTTTATTTAATTTTTTTATAAAAGCTAAACAAAAGATATATTATAGATTCTTTATTGTGAAAAAGTTTTTCAGTTTCACATTTGAAGCCTAGATGATAGAAAGTGAAACATTTTCGATGATTTGTGGAAGCACATCTTTGGGTAGAAGGTCACTTGCTGGGAAGCAGGCCCCGCCCTCCAGTGGCCAGGGAAGAGGAGGGCCTGCTCTGGAAGACGAAAGTTGACTCGAGCTGCTGAATCTGTGGCATCATAGAAGGCCCTGGAGAGTTGCCAGTTCCTTTATGTCAAAGACTAAGTGTACAAGTCTGGTACCTCCTTTCCTTTTTCTCTGACAATGACGTCTTTCTTGAACCGTTAACGTACCGTCACAGCTAACATCCTAACGGATGGAGTCTGGGCGGATGCAGTGCGTAGGATAGGATTGTTCCGCTCTGCAAGCAGTACCTACGTTTTCTTCATCTATGCATTAACTCTCAAATCGCTAAAAATTGTGTTCCACTTGAGGTAAGGCTGGGCCCTTATAGAGGTTCATGAGAGACTTCTCATGACTTAACATCTGTTTAAACTTTAGTGATAACGTACCTTTAATATGGATTCCATTTGTTTTTAAAACCTTGTAATTACGAAAGTTTGAATTAAAACAACTGTATTATTGCAAGGGTAATTCAAGTTTACATGGTTTTTACATTTTCCATGGTATGATTACTTTTTTTGATTCTGTGTACTCCAAGGCATTGGAAAAATTTTTCTGTTAACCAAATTTTTCAACTTCTACTAACTATAATTTTATGTAAATGATGAAAACTTGTGCTGATTAATGTATTCTAATATGTGATACAGTTTACAAGTTTTAATCATTATTAAATGTCCATAATTTGGAATGCTGTTATTTATCAGTAAATGTAAACTATTTGAAGCATTTAGCCATACACATTAGAACTTTTTTTAAAACTTGTCTTTGTCCTATAGTGTAATTATATTATAAACTGATGACGGATATCTTCATACTTGATTCTTCATGGCATCAAGTCACTGAAATGAAAATATGTGAGTCTTTATTTACTTTTTATAATTAAGTTGGAAACAAAAAAATTATAAAAGGAAGTATGTAAGGGGAAAATGGTTCTTTGTTAAATCGTGCGTTTTCAGTCTTGTCTCTGGTATATCATAATATCAACGTATTATGTACTCCATGTAAAAATTTGCTTGAAGTATATAGCATTTAGCATGTAGTGTATATGCTGTATTAGGTTAACACACTCCAAGTCTGCCAGAAACTTTAGACAGGAGCAAGAAAATTGTTTTTTTCTTGGAGAGTATCAATTTTGCAAACTTCAGTTGTAAATTCAAAGGGCTGACTTTAGTTCTTCCATGGTAATGGCTTGAATAACATCATCTTTGGGATAATTTTTTACACTGGTCCAGTCTAGGGGAACCTGGAAGATGACCGTACGTATTTCAGCTTCCCTAGGGAGAGCATCATTATCCGTGTGGGTAATAGGTCTGCTTGATTTATTATTAAATCATTACAGCAGTGAAGTGATGCAGTTTTCTCTCTCTTAAGCCCCATTTGAAAGGCTAGAGAAGGGGATATATAAAATATATTCAAGGTTTGTAAGATTGTTCCTGTACATAATTAGATTGCAATAAAAGTTTAGATACATTATGTAAACCCAGCCCACTAAAGGAGCAGGTTACAAGACAACTGTCACCAGCCTCAAGCATTCCATGAACTATTTACTGAAGCTACAGTTGTGTTAAGTCGGTCGCAGTATGGTCAGTGACTTATTTCCTGGAATCCTCCTCACAGGGAAAACCATGGAAGCTCATAGATGGGATGGTGAAAAGGGACATCTAGTGAATACGAGTTAAGTCACTAAAGAATATTTATGTATTTTGAGGATTTTAGAAACCAGTTGCCTTAGAGGTTAGACTTTTGGGAAAAAAAGCTACAAATCTTTTCCCCAGGCCCAAGGGAAGTCGCTTTAGTCTGTGACATCTTGTTATCCTGTTCATGTTGACTTGACATGTTTTCGATATACTGGTAACTATAATACCACACAGTGAAACAGAATTTTCTGCTACTGAAAACTGCCTTTTTACAAAAAGACTGTATTTGTAAAATAAAAACTTTAAAGTTCAAAAGGAAAGATAGAACTATGTAGTAGATCTTGGAACTTGTGTCCATGAGCACAGTAACCCCTGATCACAGAACGATCATTGTAATCAATCGAAAGTGAATAAATGTTTATTTATGGCAAACTTAACACTTTGGAAAGGGCTTCATTCTGAAACTTCCTTTCTGGTACATGTTAATAAATTTTACATACTCGATTCTTATGTGATTTATTTGCTCCTGCGTGTGGAGTTCGTTTGGCCATTCAGGCATGAGTGCTTTAGGGCCAAAAGTAGAGCTTTCTTGATTTCAGCAAGTGGACACAGAAGCGTGTCTTTATTCCTGTGTGAACGTGGCCCATGGATGAGCGCTGAAGGTGAGGTCACAGACTGGGGCTTGGGGCTCACCTCCCCCCCTCCTTTAAATCAATCAGATAACCTCCCAACGTGGTTGCTGATTTATAAATAAGGGCCTAATTGTGGACACAAAAGGATTATGAAAGCGATGGTGGAAGCCCTGCAGTACGAACACATTTTTGGAGGGCTCCTGCTGACAAGCGGGGACACTGAGGCAGGAGCCGCCGCGCCGCGGGCCAGGCAGCGTGCGCGGCCGAGAGCTCTGGCTGCAGCAGGGACCAGCCGGCTAGCTCCCGGAAGCCGCAGGGTCCTGGGCCCGACAGTCAAAGCAGCACATCCTGCAGTGGGGAGAACCAGCGCCAAATTCTAACTTTTCCTTTCTGTTTTTGCAGTTTTATAGATTCTAAAGTCACTAGTGAAATCTGAAGAACTCGTTTGTGGTATTGTTTAGACTATGAAGAAAAACACAAACTTTAAAGTGGAATAATTTATTATTCTAACCAAAGTACAAAGTATGGAAAATTAGTGTATCTGAGTCATCCAGAGAGTAGAGAAGGTTTCAAACTAGCAGATTTCAGTTTTTAGCACCTTTGAAAAGAAACAGAGTTAAGATGGGTGGCAGCACAGGCCTGAGCACCCAGGATGACCGTCCTCAGACTTGGCTGTGCCGTTCACAGAACGGGGCAGTCACCTGGCTGTCATCGACGTCGTGGGTGCCACGAGAAACACTTGAAGAGAAGGAGAAGGGTGTTCGCTGGACCCCCGCCGGCCGCTGGGAGAGGAGGAGTGCGCAGACGCAGGAGGTTCAGATGGACAGCCCGAAGGCACTGACGATGCAGTACATGGTCTTGTTCTCCCACCGCACGGTGCAGCTCCCTGTGGGGAGAAGGCATGGCCCTCAACTTGGGGACGCGGGGGCTCGCCATCCTGACTTCTCAGACTTCTTTACGGCACACGAATAAAGAAGGCCACTCAGACCCTGCTCTATAAAATGTGTCAACGGGTGACTCTGATATGCATGCATTCAAAGACCTGAAACAGCCAAGCATGTTTCAGAAAACTCTGCCTGGAAAAATCTAGATCTCAGCAAGGTCGAGGAGGCGCCGCAGAGGCTTCAGCGCAAGGCCCATGACAAGCGTTCAGGGAACACAGGGAAAACCATACCGTCAGTAGAGCTGTCCCAGAAGCAGGAACTGGCCGTGTGTAAGCCCGCTCCATTCTTCTGCATAATCACACAGGTCACTTCAATGAAAACAGGCGTTTATTAGAGAAACCCACCCGGCAACACACCTTCCTGTCAGCCGACTTTCAGCATTCCGGGGCAGATCCTGGGGAAGGGGTTCATGGGAACAGTTGCCGGGGTAGACTGGCCCCGTGACAGTGACACGCCACAGCCTTCCCTTGTCCTCCCCCCATGCCTGCTCTAAATGCGTCGGGTGTGAAGTGCTGGGAAACCCAGTGATGGGCACCCTGCAACTGCTGCAGCCGCCCAACAGGCCGGCTGGCTGGTAACGCACACAACCCGGCGAGCTGCCCCTACTGGGCACGCGCTTCGAGGTCAGACACCAGAGCAAGTACTCCTCTCGGCAGTATTTCAAGAACCACCCACAGTATATACGAGAAGCAAAGGTGCATTACCGATGTATTTAAATGGCTTTCCCAGCTTGGTGAGTTGGCTTAAAGTTTGTTCTACGACATTTGTGGTCCACTGATTCACTTTGCTGTGCTGATAGGCATTGCCGCCGATTGCGCTCTCTATAGCCTGGAACGCGGGGCAGAGGTCACGGTTAGCAGGACCCACGAGCAGCGCCTTCCAGCCAGTACCGGGGCTCCTCGCCCGAAGCCTGCGGAACTATACGCTGCATAAAGCGTGAGCAAAAGCCACGAGCACTCCCTTGCAGGTACACCTTTGTTGAACAATGTCCTCGTTCGTTAAGTAAGTTTTATATTCATTTTCTAAAATCCACAGTTACATAGGATCTGTCAAATTTTAAAAACATGTTGACTGAATGTACTGTTGACTGTTGCAGTTGGTACCTGGAGATGATAATTTTTGTTCCTACTGAGGCTAGAAAATACTTCCTTTGCCCATCCTTAAAAGTATAGCAGACAGAAAAATCTTTACTAGGTTGTACAACCGACAACGTACAAACCTATGCAAATAATCTTGTGTTCAAAAATATTTCCTTTACTCAGCATTTTCTGGGAATATGTTAACACGTAAGTGCACTTTTCAAATAGAAAACGAGCCCTATATATTACACAAAACTTATTTTTTGTACTATTTTATTTTAAGGTTATGATGAATTTTTCTATTTGAAATAGTCTCTTTCTGTGCTGCATCCCGGTGAGGGTTCATGCTGTGTAGCTCAGAGGTTACTCAGGAATACGTACGGCTGCTTGCCCCTGCTCTTGCTCAAGTTTGTAGTTAGGCTATTACCATTCTGTGGTTTTCTGAGCCTCTTTATGTTGATGCCAGTGTGCCTGCCTCTAAGCAGCTTTCTTCTCTACCCCTTTTCTAGCTGGAAACCAGAAACGTGAATTCCGATGACAGTTATGACCTAAAATAATTTGGTGAGGGCTCAGTTCTGTCCTCAGACATGCAGAGAACAGTCCTGGGATCTGAGTTGTGCACACTGGAGATGGATTAGGGTCTACTGTCTGGGACAAAAGCCCAGTGACCTTGCTTTTGAGGAACTAAGTGCTACCTATAATCGCACCCTGATTTCTACCTATTTATCCTGGGACTCTGAGCAGTCACATTAAATACACCTCGTTTAGCTTCTGGCCTTCCCTCTGCACCCCCATCCCCCCATTGTCATTGTCATAGCTCCTTCTCATCCTCTGACCTGTTCTGCTCCCTTCCCAACTCAGAGCATAAAATGAGGTTGTGGGGACATAGGCATTCCTGGTTTAAAAGGACCCAGTTATTACTAGATCTGGATATTGGTGAAAGAAGTGGGGGGCATCAGTCAAGCTAAACCTCTAACTTTGGCAACTCTCTACACATACACTTTGGAATGCACTGTTTTTCAGGGAGGGAGGAAAACTCCCCTCCAATTCTGGACTCACCCAAATTTATTACTACCTGATCCTTACAAGAGCGCAAGGGAAGAATTAACCTATTGCCGGGGGCAAAAAAGCTGTTGAGGCTGGTGGACCACGTGAGAGTACCACAGCAGTACTACTTCATGCTTTCATGGAGACTGGGAGAGTCTACTTTCAACTGTACTTGTTGCCTGGCAACTGAGTCAAAGATGACGCTGAAAACAAGTGAGATCACAGGGGACCTGTCCCCACTTCTCACAGTTCGACTGTGGTGCCACCACCTTCCTGCCCCCTCAACACACCGTGTTCCATAAGAAACACCCTGTGTAAAAACAAAAGCAAACTGTTACAGATCCTGCACAACAACTAGAAAATCATCTGTGATGGTGAATAATGTATATGGTAGAACAAAATCATTTTGCTTTTTGGTGTTGGTCACAAAAATAGGTTGTGGTTCTTGATCACTCTGGCATTAGATAATAATTTGCATTAGAGTCAATTCCAAATTACACACATAATCTCAGCTGGTACTTTAAACTTAGATCACCTAATGGCTTTCCTCTGGCCGCTGGCTTCACAGTCTGTGCTCAATTTACACAGGAAGAGAAGGGACTAAAGAAAATCTTTCTGGCCTCATTCCTGCCCCAGGTTCCCCCAGCACTCTGCACTATTCCAGCCCCATCTGCCTCATTTCAGTCCCTCAAACACACCATACACAGTCCCACCACAGGGCCTTTGCATACACCCACTTCCGGAATGTTTGCGCCCTCTTTTTGCTGAGTTAACGCTATTCCTACTCATTCTCCAGATTCTAGCTGTGAACTCACCAGGTGCGTCAAATCCCTCATAGCACCATGTACTGTGGCAGTTACCACACAGGGAATCCACATTTACATTTTCCAGTGTGATGATTTCTTAAGTGCCTGCCTGGTCCTGCCCCATACTGTAAACCCCTTGATGGTCTGTCCCTAATGCCCCCTTGATATGTATTTTTCCAATGAATGAAGAACAAATACCCTATTTTGTCTTCCACTGCCATCATCTAAGGGAGGTACCATGGTCAATAATGGCAAAATAGGTAGTTTAGGAATATAAGAAAAATAAATAGGTAAGCCCCAACTGGATCATCAGGTCTTAAGTAACTGGAAGTTACTCAATTTTTTTTATATTCACTCTTTATTCAACACCAGAAATATTTACTTGTGTACCATGACCATGAGTCTTTTATGTTAAAAGGTTATAGAATCAAGCCTTAGTAATATTCAATAATAATGCTAGTATATAACATTTCCTGTCTGGTTTAAAATACATAATTTACATAATATGGGAGTAATTCTTATCTACATATTCACTGAAGAAAACTGTTATTTGAAATGCCAAAACACACAGGTTCATTTGAAACAATTCCAAGACAGTATTTAAAACACATTATTTTCACTCATAAAGCCATTAATCAACATTTTAAAAATAAGCATTCTTCCTCTTACCTCTTTTACAATGTTGCTCACTTCATCAACAACAAAAGCAGTCTGTAAGCAAGAAAACTAGTTAAGTTTGATGGCTTTAAAAGATCGGTTTCCACTGCATTGATTAATGCAAATTTAGGTAATGAACATAATTCAGAAATGACGACTTAGAAATAACCAAACTAAACTTTTCCTTTTACCAAGGAAAACACTACAGAGACTCAGAAATGCCGAGTGGCTCTGAGGATCACAGAGCTGGTGAGAGGCAGTCAGAGGAGTCTAGAATATGTATATAATTTAGAGGGTTTGGGTTTGTTTTAATCATGCCATGGTCCAAAAGGCTGACTT